ACTGTTTTATTTAGCATTCAATATGGATGCTTTATACTCAGCATCCGCATCAACTTTTTATAGTAAATATCTGTCTACTGATTCTTAAAATTTTAATTGCTTTCTAAAAGTTTTTTAAGCTGTCATAAATTAGAAATATATTAAAATCGTCTTCTGTAAACTGTATTTTTAAATTAACAATAATAATTTCTATACCGTCTTTTGGTGCCTAAACAATTGTTTATCATTCTAAACCATCTGCGAGAATCAGACTGTTGGGATTTTATACACATTATTTAATCTCAATCTTACTAATTTTTCAATAAGATACACGTTTTTTCTTTACAAAAAACACGTTTTTTATATAAAAATACAGCATGGAGTTACGTGACTTTTCCGGCAAAATCGTTAAAATTGTATATGTTAATTACTATAAAATAGAAAAAAAGCTTAATTTTAAGGATAGAGATGAATTTTTTTCATTAAAAAAATTATAAATGCTTATAATAAATAAAATCTTTATTAAGTCCGACTCCACTCGAGATATGACACGTGACCCCTCTATTTTTCCAACCCCTCAACCTTTAACCACCAAAATTTAATAACATAAATCCCCCTAATACACAAGCCTCCCTGCAAAATTTCAGAAATTTTCGACAAAACACACAGGAGTTATTAAGCATCAAATTTTTGTTTCATTTATATTACAAACACATGTTTATATATAGAAGATTTCATACAATAATGAGGCTTTCTGGTTAGTTTATAAATGTATATTTCATCGTAGAGCATAGTTTTCGGGATATTTATTATCGTAATTAAGTAAATAGTAAAATTATTTAATCTAGTTAACGTTAAATATATGTTTAAACCTATATCATTAAATTCTAAATAAGAATTTTATGGCCTTGTGTTTAAAAATTAAGAAGAAACAAAATGTTTATCATTATTCTAGTAATATATTTCTTTTTAGTAGTAAATTTCGCCTCATCGTTTAATTATTAAAGTTTATTATGCTTAAATCTTTATTAATGATTATGAAAAATGATTGTATTTAAATGTATTAAATTAAAAACTTTATTATAATTATGATCCATTGTATGAGTGTTGAACACCCTATCACAGGGAAGCTAGAAGGGGGTTTCTCTTGATCTCTACAGCAATGTTATATTGCAAAAAAGTCATTTTTTATTTTATTTCCAGCATAAAAAATATATATAGAATGAAAAATAAATCTGTTAAAAATGTTAATACGATTCTATTCGTGTTTTTAATTAAACTAAATAATTATATGTATATTTTTTTCACTTTAAATTATAATAAATTCCTTGAAAAATTCTTTACTAAATGCTCTTCTGAACATTTTAATGAGAGATATTCGTGTTATTTTAAGATTTTCTTCGTGCCTCAATTACAATTAATTACCTTAGTGTCATTTACTGTACGATAATCTTAATTAAATCGATTTCAATTAAACTCTCTAACAACGTTCTTTTTACGTAAAAGAAAACGAAAAAAACAATTAAATTTAAATATAATTAAGATTAATTAATCAATTTGTATAAAATGTAACAAGTTTTTAATACGCTAAAATTTAAAATTAAATTATAACTTTTTAATTAATTTTTTTATATATATATTTTTTAAAATAA